GCCCATCTTTGCATGAAATGTTCCCTTGGTATCTCTAATTTTCTTAAAGAGATCTCTAGTCTTTCTCATTCTATTGTTTTCCTCTATTTCTTTGCACTGATCTCTGAGGAAGGCTTTCTTATCTCTCCTTGGTATTCTTTGGAACTCTGCATTCAAATGGGTATATCTTTCCTTTTCTCCTTTGCCTTTACCTTCTCTTCTTTTCTCAGATCTTTGTAAGGCCTCCTCAGACCTTTTTGCATTTCTTTTTCTTGGGGATTGTCTTGATCACTGCCTCCTGTACAATGTCATGAACCTCTGTCCATAGTTCTTCAGACATTCTATCAGATCTCGCCATCATAAACATCATCTTAACCATACCTTCACTGTGACCACCCCAACTAGGGAGGTGGTTTTTGTTTGTTTGTTTGCCCTTTTCTGAGCATTGTGGAGGAACAAAGGAAAAAGAATGATAGTTTGTCTCTTCTACCAGATATAAGTCTAAACAGTACAGTCCCAGCTCTAAGATGGAGCCAAAAAGACCATGAATCCCAGCCACAGATATGACAGTGAGGATGGCAGAATGGGGAAGGCTAGTCCTCTCTCAAACAGACAAACAGGCAACATGGAATTGTAGGAAAAGTGTGAGTTTCTGAGTCAATCAGAATTGAGTTCAGAACTTGACTCTGCGTTCTGTGTGCCTGTGAGAAAGTTATATAAACTCTCTGAGCCTAATCTATAACATAGATAATGCCTGAATGTGTGCATGCTAAGTCACTTCAGTCATGCCCAACTCTCTGAGATCCTATGAACTGAAGCCCACTAGACTCCTCTGGCCATGGAATTCTGCAGGCAAGAATACTGGAGTGGGTTGTCATGCCCTCCTCCAGGAGGTCTTCCCCACCCAGGGATCAAACCTGAGTCTCCTGTGGCTCCTGCATTGCAGGCAGACTCTTTACTGATGCACCACCAGGGAAGCCCAGATAATGGCTACTTTGTAAAATTATTATGAATGACTAGGAATAGAACCTGGGTTGTAGAAACCATAAAGAATGGCTGGTATGCAATAGGTGTTAAAAAACAGGGAGCTTTCTTTTACGCCTCACTTGTACAGAGATTTCAATTCCTGGTCTATAAAATGGGCTTGAATCAGTCTAGGGGCTCTGCTCCCCCATCGCCACATTCCCCCCACATTAGGGAAAGTGGAAAGCCGAGGAGTCTCTGGGACACAGGGCTCTTCCCTCGGGACCTGATCAGCTGCTGCCATAACATGCCCAGGCAGATGGGAAGCCCACGCGGGCACAGTTCCTTCCTGAGGAGAGTCACAATGAGGATTTAAACATAAGAAAGAAAAAAAAAAAAAAAAACGACTGCAGACTATATGGTTTTCACGAGCAAAATAAGGGAAATGAGGAAATGGGATCCTTTAATCTTTGGTCTATAAAATGGGCTTGAATCAGTCTAGGGGCTCTGCTCCCCCATCGCCACATTCCCCCCACATTAGGGAAAGTGGAAAGCCGAGGAGTCTCTGGGACACAGGGCTCTTGCCTCGGGACCTGACCAGCTGCTGCCATAACATGCCCAGGCAGATGGGAAGCCCATGCGGGCACAGCTCCTTCCTGAGAGTCACAATGAGGATTTAAACATAAGAAAGAAAAAAAAAAAAGAAGCCAACTGCAGACTATATGGTTTTCACGAGCAAAATAAGGGAAATGAGGAAATGGGATCCTTTAATCTTTGCAGACAACAAAGATGAAGGCAGGGGTGGGGGTGGGGGTGGGGATGGTCTGTTTCCAACTCAAGCTCTGAACAGGTTTTACCTGATGGTGGGTGCAGGGATCTGAAACCCAAAGGAAAGAGAGCCCTTATGCTCCAAGATACTGGAATTTTTGTCAGTGGGAGAATGCTTCACATTCTCTAAGATTCAATATTCTTATTATTGCCTGGAGAACCCCATGGACAGAGGAGTCTGGAAGGATATGGTCCATAGGGTCGCAAAGAGTCAGATACAACTGAAGCGATTTAGCACAGACTACTTCTTATGGAAGTGACTGTGGAGAGTTATTCACCTCTCTGAGCCTCGGTTTTTCTCATCTCCATGCGAGAAGGAACCAATACCCCCTGCTAGACAGGACTGATGTGAGATTAGAGATGTAGAATTAGACCTCTGTTTGTTATATACTAGATAGACTAGATATATCACTCTCACACCTAAAAGGTTGCCCCATGCAGAACAGGTGTCTAATGGAGGAGTTATTCTAGAAGTATCTTGGAGACCTTCGTCTCCCTTGCTTCTCGCTGGGATCCTATGAGGCAGTCACTGTCATCACCACCACCCTTTCCTGGAGGAAGCAGCTGAGGCTCAGAGGCCAAGTAAGTGGCCTCAGGTTGCACATCTGGGGTCTCCTGACTCCACCTGTTTTCAGATTGAGGGCGAGAGGCCCTGAGAAGTGACCGGGGAGCAGCCCGGACCCTGCCAGCCCGTGTTCTCTAGAGGAAGGTGGCAGCAAGGAGGTGGGAAGGGGACACCCCGTGAGCCCAGGGCCCTAACCTGAATGCTGCTCTTCCCCCACAGCCAGGCCTGCCCAGCCAGCCCAGCAGGACAAGGTGAGATGGGGCTCCTGCCCTTGTCTCCTCTCTGTGACGTCGGCTTCCTTACCCAGACCCCACTCTCCCGCAGGACGTTTCCGTCATCTATGCTGAGGTGAGACGCCCGCAGCGCAGCGAGGGTCCAGACAAGGGGCCAAGTAGAAGAAGCAGGACCCACTGAGGTCCTACCAGTGACTGCAAGGAGCCCCTCTGCTAGCAACGCCATCCCCCACCCCCAACACACACACCTCCGCAGCCCCCAGTGCGCCCCCAGAGGCCAGGGAACCCCAGCCTCTTCTGTGTCTTCCAGTTCCCCAACCTAGCAGCAAGCACCCCCGTTTGTGGAGCACGTGAGAAAACTCCTTTATCCCTTAGTGGTCAAAAGGATACACGGTTGTAGATCTACTTGTTAATAAAGGGGTATCAATTCGTTTCACACTGTCCATCAGTAGCGATCATTTGGGCTGCCTGATTATTTGGTCTGGTTTATTCAAGGAGAATGGACTGCGTGTGAACTGGCCTGGTAATGAGTTGGGAGGGTGAGGAAGAGGAAGGACTAGAGGGGTGGAAAGGAGGGGAGTCAATGCACTCCACATCCAGAGTGTTCAATGAAGGCTGTTGTTGTTCAGCTGCTAAGTCGTGTCCGACTCTTTCCGACCCCATGAACTGCAGCATGCCAGGCCTCCCTGCCCCTCACCATCTCCTGGAGTTTGCCCAAGTTCATGTCCATTGAGTTGGTGTCAATGAACAAAGTGAAAGTGAAGTCGCTCAGTCGTGTCTGACCTGCAACCCCATGAACTGTAGCCCACCAGGCTCCTCTGTCCATGGAATTCTCCAGACAAGAATACTGGAGTGGATTGCTATTTCCTTCTCCAGGGGATCTTCCCAACCCAGGGATGGAACCTAGGTCTCCTGCATTGCAGGCAAGTTCTTTATTATCTGAGCCACAAAGGAAGCAGGGTCAATGAAGGTTAGTTATTAATATATATTTTCTTCGTGGGCCCCTGCACTGGAATCACAGAGAGTGGGGTCTGAGTTACCAGAACCAGCACCCTCCTCTCCTAGCAAGAAATTTATGTTCAGAGAACTCCTGGCCCTCAGAGCTGCAAACTTCTATCATTTCCCCTTGAGTTTATTAGAAATGCAGACACCCAGACCTGCTGAATCAGAACCTACATTTCAATAAGATCTCCAGGCAGATGATTTGCATGTACATCAAAGTTTTAAAAGCCTGGTCTACCTCCAAAATACATACTTCGTGGAAGTAAATCAGTCCGCTTGCCTTTGGGAGCTTAATTGCGTGTAGTTGTCCTCTGGGAGAAGACAGTGGGTAAGGCAACCCAGGCCAGCCCTTTTCTCTCGCTTGTCTACTGCCTGTTCTCCCTTGCCTCCTCCCACCCCAGGTCTTCCTCTTCCTGATTCTCTGTCTCTTTCATCACCCGTCCAGTCCACAGCCGGAATACACCAGGGTCCCCTCCCCTTTGCCTCGTTGTTTCAGCCAGGATCATTGAGAGGCACACGCCATCCAGAAGTGCAGGGTCTTCACTGGTCCATCAGGAATTAACCCTCCCCCCGACCCTACTCCTTTACCAGGCCCTCTGTAAACGAGTCACCCCCTTCTAAAAAGTCAAAACGTAGATAGGACAGCTCACGGAGGGAGCAGTGATGATGGGGACGGGAAGGAGCCAGCCCTCGTCATCCCCACATCCTTCCTGAGCTTTCATATCTCCCTCCCCCCTGCCCACACCCGCTCCTGGTCCACTCCTGGGGTGTGTCTGTGAATTGAATTTACCAGTCCAGGTAAGATAATAGAACAATTGACAACAAGGACTTAGGAACTTTTATCGCAATCTGATAGAGTAATTTTATGTTTTTTTAATATAATCATTAAAACGAGGGCTTGTGTTTTATACCTCTCTTTCAATGTTTTTTTAGTAATTCGTTTTTATGGTATTGTCCAGAAGTATAGCTCCACAGTGGATTGGGAGTAATAAAGAAAAACGGGTCCTTCAACTCAGGTATGTGAGGAGTTATATCTCTCGCGCTCTCTCTCTGTCTCTCTCTCTCTCACACACACACACACACTCACACACACCACACACTCACACACCACACACTCACACACGCACACACACACACACTGCTGGCCTGGTGTGTCTCAGACTCTGCTCTCTCCTCAGACTCTTAATTTGTAAAACAATGAGCTGGAATTTTCCAAAATGAACAATTACTAAAAGAAGCGAAGGAAAAGAGAATTCCCAAAAGAACATAGAGAAAATACAGCTTTTAGAGGAAACCCACATTATTCAGCCCAGACTCTTCCTGGCTTGCCTAATATCAGCACATGTGAGTGCATGCACGCCAAATCGCTTCAGTCGTGTCCGACTCTGTGTGGCCTGTGGACTGTAGCCCACCAGGCTCCTCTGTCCCCGGGATTCTCCAGGCAAGAATACTGGAGTGGGTGGCCATGCCCTCCTCCAGGTGATCTTCCCAACCCGGGGATCGAAACCAAGTCTCCTTTGTCTCCTCATTGGCAGGTGGGTTCTTTACCACTGGTGACACCTGAAGCCCTAATATCAACACATCCAGCCCCAAATCCCATCTCCAGTTCTCAGAGTAGGTACGTGCTTCTGTTCCCAGAGGATGCGGGTGGGCAGGGGTGGAAGGACCCCTGCCCAGGGAGGGCCAGACCCTGCAGAAGGGATCCCACAGCCTGCTGCAGTGCTGCTCCCCATAGGAAGGCCCGCAGCAGCCTCCATGCTCAATCAAGGCTCTGAAACAGGAAGCATTATTTTTCTTTCCAAGTCAGAGCTAAATGCAAACACTTCTCCAGCAAGGGTGAGTTAGCTGTGCCCCATCTAGGGACCTGGCTCTATGGGGTCACATCACTCACAGGGTAAGAGAACTCGGCCCGCATAAGGACAGAGGGGCCATCTGCTGCTGACCTTAAGGTGGAGAGCAGGACAACAGGAGCCTCGGGGCTGCCCCCTAGTGGTCCTCCCGGGTCATCCGGGACTTGCACAGCCTCCTACACCGTGGTCTGATCCGTTCATTGGACGACTTCCTTGTTAGGTCTCATTAAATACCCCACCCTTGTTTTGTATGTGGCTACACCATTTAGATATGAACAATAAAAATTGATCACAGCCCTTCCCTGAACCAGGCAGGTTGCACATGCTGGAATTTTTCAATTCCAGGTTACTTTAAATTTGACTAGGAAATAGACCCCCTACATTTTTACTTAAATTAGCACCCACTAAACATTTCTGTGTCCTTCATCTTTGTCTCAACTGTGACGACAGTAAGTACAGACAAGGGGCACAGCATGGGAAAGACCCAGGCTTCCCCACGTTGTATCTCTGTCTCCATGGCCGGAAGAAGGTGTATCTGGCAGACCTGGAGCGTCGCCAAGGCTGCTCCTTCAGCACACATCACTCTGAATGAAGAGCCTCTGTTGCACCTGTTTCTGGAATTCTCTCCCATGTGACATGCAGATCAGCAGTGACTGTTCCTGTCATGCTCAGGAGCATGACCGCTGTCATCATCAGCCTGTGTTCCTGACCTCACAGGGCTTACTCATGCTAGATACTGGGCAAACCTTTGCTCAGTACATTCATGTGCACACCATGGGAACCCAGCAAGCACTGTGTAAGCGAGTGAGTGAGGGAATGAGTCTCCTTCCTCCCCTGCTCTGCTTCAACACGGCACAGGCACAGCTTGCTTTCTTTCCTGTGCCATCTTTCTTCCACCCTCTGGGAAAGTATGTCTTTGCCTCAAAAGCAGGCCCTGCCTGCTGAAGCCCCAGGCCCCTGCCCCAAGTCCTGAGAGCTGTTTCATAGGCTCCCTCTTCCTCCCCCTCCTTAGTCTGCCCACTTCCAGCTGTGAGCACCAGGCCCCTGGCCCAGCGAAGGGCCCATTCCCTCTACCAACTCCCAGCAGGGCCAGGATGAGGGTGAGTCAGGAGAGGTGCCCTGGGCACAAATACTGAAGCAGAAGCCATCCCTGGGCCGGGCAGACACTAGAGTGTCCTCTCAGGGGAAGTAGGATGTGTCCACTTCACCTGTGCACACACTGCCTCAAACCTCATCTCCCCGACAGGGCAGCGCCACTGACCAAGCCGGCTGCCAAGGGAGGTGGGCATGCAGCACGCCCCCTGGCCAGGGCAGCCTTTGGGGCTGCCATGGCATCAGCTGGTAGATGGTGCAGGCCGCTGGCCCACTCTATGGGAACCGTATAGGTGAACGTGGACCCAGACAGGGCTCAGGTGGGGTTCCACCTGCCCCTCAGCCCCATCCTGCTTAGAAGTGGTGCCCACCCAAATCCAGTGCTCTGGGACAACCTGGAGGGACAGAGCGGGGAGGGAAGAGGAAGGGGTTCAGGATGGGGGTGGGGGGAACACATATATACCGATGGCGATTCATGTTGATGTATGGCAAAAACAATCACAATATTCTAAAGTGATTACCCTCCAATTAAAATAAATAAATAAATTGTTTTTAAAAAAAAGAAACAGTGCCCAGAGACCCACCGCCCCGCAGGAGCACCCTGCTTTCTTCCTTGCATTCCAAAAGCCTCTAAAGGCCCCCCACTGCTTCCAACCTGCCCTTCCTCTGCCAGCTCCCTTCTCTTCTCAAACATTCTACCTTTCCCCCTCCCCTATTCCACTTGTCTCCCGGTGCGGGGAGGGGGCCGTGGGGGGGGCGGGGAGGTGGGGAGGGCGCGAGGCCGTTCTGCCCTAAGGCCAGTCCAAGAAGAAGAACAAGTGCCAGCAGGCAGGGACAGGGCATCGCTTCGGCCACCCTTCACACTGCATCCAGTTCCACCCCACCCTGAATCTGCACCACCAGCCGACCTGGAATCTGCTCTCAGGGCTGAGGGTTGCGGGCTCAGATGAGCCACAGTTAACACCTGCTCCCCCCACCCCTGCCAGCTGCTCTCTTAATTAAGAAATGTGGGGAGTGGCCCCTTTGAACTCAGCAGTTAATTTACTCCGCGCACTCCCCCTGTGGCTGGGTAATTAATGTGGTCTGAACCAGTGATTAGCAGTGGGGGGAGAAGCTGCCGCCACGACTTAACCCTTCCTGTGCCTTCATCAGTCAGTTCTGCTCCTGTCATCTCAGGGCTGCTAGAAGTTCTTTGAGGGGAGGTGCGTGGGATATTTTCAGGTCCTCACCCAAACTC